GCATTGCTGTACAGAGGTAAATCATGGTTGCTGTGATGCTGAAGACTGTGACAGTGATGTGCCAATCGTGGTAATGGGCACCCATTTGCTGGAGCTTCCCGACTAAATCAAGCCTGGAAGCAGGAGTGGCATCCACTTCCGAAATGGCTTGCCTCCGGAAACTTTATGTACGAACAGTGCTCAGGCCCTTCGTTCATAGGGTCACTATGAGTTGTCTACGACTCAACGGCACCAAACAGTAACAACAACATACGAAACCTATACTTGGACCAAGAAGCAGTCCTCAGAACAGAGCAAGAAAACAATACATGGTTCAAAAATCAGGAAAGGGGTGCATCAGGGATGCATCCTGTCCCCATACCTTTACAATCTGTATGCAGAATAGATCATTCAGGAGGCAGGGCTTTAATAAAGAGGAGTGTGGCATAAAGAGTGGAGAAAGACACATTAACAACCTATGATATGCAGATGACACAATCTTGCTTGCTTAAACTGAAGAAGACCTGAAACACTTGCTGCAAAAGGTCAAAGACTGTAGTCTTCAATATGGATTGAGGCTCAACATCAAGAAGACAAAGATTCTCACCACTGGGCAAATTGGCAGTACCATATAAGATGGAGAGGAGATTGAGGTTGTTAGCAATTACAGCTTGCTCAGATGCACAATCAACACTCTTAACACCAGCAGTCAGGAAATCAAAAGACAAATTGCATTGGGAAAATCTGCTGTCATGGACCTCTCCAGAGTGCTGAAGAGCAATGATGTCAGTCTAGATACAAAGGTATACCTAATCCAGGCCATGGTCTGCTCAATTACTTGTTATGCTTCAGAGAGTTGGACAATGACTAAGGAAGACAGAAGAGTAGATGCCTTCGAGTTGTGATGCTGGAGAAGGATCTTGAACATACTATTTACTGCCAAGGAAACAACTAGGTCTGTCTTGGAGAGGGCAAAAACAAGCCTCTCCTTGGAGGCTAGGATTTTGAAGCTCTGCCTCATTTACTTTGAGCACATGGTCAGGAGAGATTGGTTCTTGGAGAAGGACATCGTGCTCGCAAGGGTGAACAGGCAGTGCAGGAGAGGAAGATCCTAGATGACATGGATTAATACAGTGACTGGGGCAATGGGGGTTGGTGTGTCAGAATTAATGAGACTGGCTCAGGACAGGGAAGGGTTCAGAGCTGCTGTACTTAATGTGTAAAAGTAGGAGAGGCATCCACTTCCTAAACAACATGCCTCTGGAAACTCTATGAACTTTGGTAAAGTTCAATAGTTGTAGAGGGGCTTCAGACCTTTTGTTCATAGGGTTGCTATGAGTCATACTTGACTCAAAGATAATTAACAACAACCCAGTAAGTAAAGCCAGGCCTAAGCAACACCAGCAGCTAACATGTAGTGAGACTATCCTGGAGACATTACCTTCTGCCCCATTTAAAAAATATTAAAGTGTACAATTTTATTTTTAATTTTTATCTATCTGGATGGAATAAAAGGTTAAGGGTTCACCTACTAGCTGAAAGTCTGGAGTTTGAACACACTTAGAGCATCACAATACAAAATACACTTCTCTCCATCACAACTTCTCAACAACCTGTGCTATGCAGATGATACAACTCTCACTTAACCAGTCACTAATTCACTGAATTCCAGTTGATTCCAACTCATAGATCCCCTCCAAAACACTTCTGACGCTGTAAATCTTAATGGAAGGAGATTGCTTATCTTTCTCCTATAGAGAAATTAGTGGATTTGAATGCCTGAAAATGTATAGCCTTTGGTTAGTAGCTGTAACACTTTACAAACTAGGCCATCAAAGCTCTTAGAACTTTGCTCAAAGAAAAGGAAGACTTGGAGCATTTACTGATGAAGCTGAAAAACTTTAACACAGATTACATCTCAACAAAAGGAAGCAAATATTCTCTCAACTGGACCAATAAGCTACATGGTAAATGGAGAAAAGATTGAAGGATTTAATTTTATGTAGCTACACAATTAACACACATGGGAACAGCAGCCAACAAATCAAATGGTGTATAGCATTGTGCAGCTTGGCAGCCAAGTAGCTTTTTAAAGTTCTAAAGAGCAAGGGTGTTACTGTAAAGACTAAGGCACACCTGACCTGTGTAATGTTCAGTATGCTTCAAAGTCAAACCATGAATAAGGAAGTCATACAATGAATAAGGAAGATCAAAGAAGATGCTTTTGTTGTGTTGACATAGAATATTGCAAAAGAACAAATAAATATGTCTTGAACAAACTGAAGTCAGAGTGCTCTTAGAAGTAAGGATGATGAGACCCAGTGGCATCAAAGATTTATTGTCCAAAATGGCTTTCCTATTAACTTTGACTTAGCTTCATAGATGATTGGGATCAAATAGAGTGGTTTAGTTTATCCACAAGGAGATTGGCTAATCTCACCATTAAATCAAGCAGTTTTAACAGCAGAAATGGAGAATTTCAAACCCTGCATCAAAGCACTCCTCCTTCACCAGAGATTCTTGTACTGTTTAGATTGGAGCCCACAGAAATAGCAGAAACTGCAACAGAAAACCAGCTCCCCTATGGAACCAGACCTAGGCTTGCCTAAGCTTGTTGGAGGGCTAAGGGCAAAAGATGCCTTAATTGGCAGGACTAGGAATGCCATGTAACACTGTCCTAAAGCCATGAGGCTGAAGGCTGAGCACACTTTGGAAATTGTCCTGACTGTATCCTGTTGCCAGCCTGAATTATAGCCTGTTGAGATTTGGTTCTATAATATCTGTGTAGTTGTTGGTACAGATTTATGATCCAGTGGTGCAGGAAGATTGGTGTCAGAATTAGTAGAAGTAGGTGTGGGAGCATGGGAGACTATGTCTGACCTTATAGGAATTATAGTTTTCTACTGAGGATGTTGTTAATGGGGACCGTTCCCCTTTGTGGCATTAGTAGATATCAGACTCAGCCATCTCCATGCTGCCTCCATTCTTTCCCCATTGTCTCACATACTTTGGGTATGTTATCAGAAGGAGCAAGATCTCAGAGAAGGATATGCTTGAAAAAGTAGAGCATCAGTGAAAGAAAAGAAGATCCTCACTCAGATGGATTGACCCTGTGAATTAAACAATGGGCTTTAAGCACAGCCAAGATTGAAAGGATGGCATAGGATCAGTCAAGGTTTCATGTTGTTGTACATACTGGTGTTATGAATGAGAGCCAGCTTGAAGGCTCCTGACAACAATAAGAGGCACCCCAGGACAAGCCTGGCCATCGGCTTCTGAACGATCATAGGCTTGAACAGCCTTGGGAGCAGTTCTACTCTGTACCCATGGGGTTGCCATGAGTCACAATCAACTCTACAAAAATGAACAACAATGCATATTTTACTTTAGAAAAGGTATCCTTTGAGATTTTTAATAAGGACTAATAGACTTGGTTTCTCAGGGATATTATCACATTCTTCAGGAGATCGATTTATAACCAGTGTTTAACTTTTTAAAAAAAGTATAGTCTCCATAACAACAACACCACATTTAAATATACCAAGAAACTGAGAGAAATGGAAAAATGAAGCATAAAATTTGGGAGTTGATGGACACAGAGCCTACTAATTGGTCCTAAAAGCCTTCTGAGGTCCCAACTCTTCTCACTATCTCTTAGTTGTTGGAATGGACAGAAAACCTCCTAAGCATTTCCTTACTTCACTTCTACCTTGCATGTGAACTTCCGAGTTGTAAAATAGCCCAGTGGTAGATGGAATTTGCTCCAGGACTTAAGAAGCATAAATGACTTAGCTGAGCCTCTACATCTTGTGGTTCCTAACCTCTACACTATAATAGACAAAGTGCTAGTCTATAGGCCTTTTATTGTAAGTACCACCTTCCCTCTGTAACTTGATTTGTGCCACTACTAGAACCTCTACTCGGAATATTATTGCTTGTTAATTTTTGACTCATGTACTTTTAACTTGTTAGTTAAATTTGTGTCTTCTAGGTTGCAACACCTCTATGATACATCTTCAAGGATATGAACATGTACTGGCTTTGACAAGCACTGTGGCAATTGGACAATTAAAACAGACATTCGGGGTGGGGGGGAAGAAGAATGAACTGGGGAGGAGGGTAGAGAAAACAGTGCAACAATGAATGAATGAGAACCCAAAATCTCTGTAAATGTTCATTAAAACGAATAAAATTTAATAATAATTAAAAAAATAAACAAACGATTTACCTATTAAAAAAAATTTGGGAGTTGATTATCAGACCTTTGCAATCAATTTCTCTAAGGCCCTTATCCTATTGAAGCAAAGTATTCTGTTATGGGTATAAGAAATCTAAGCATACACACAGAAAGGTATGGCAGGATTGATTATTTATGTAGATCTGTAATAAAAGTAGTTTTACTTAAAAAAAAGTATAGTCTCCCATCTGGAGAGGAACAATAAAGTTATGGTATTCTTATTTTCTATGATTTGTAGTCCAAAAGCAAACTTTTTTTCAAATTTAAGATTTTAATATTAAACATACTGTTTTCCAGCTTATCTCACCTAGGTTTGGAGACTTTCTCCCACTGAGTATCAGTGATTTACATAACTGTTATCATTTTGCAACAGCAGGAATGATGCGTAAAATCCATTTTTTTAAATTTAAAACATGTCTCCAGAAATAGAAACCATCTGTGTTTGTTTCATATTTATCCTCAAAAACCTGAGAAGTGAACACTTAGTTCTAGGGGAGGTGGGCAAGGATAGGGTGGTGTGTTTCCTGTTTTATTGTTTAGGTACACATTTAGGCCTTACTCTGTAGGAAAACATCAAAATTCCAACAAAGAACGGTGCACGCTGTTCTTCATGTGACTAGAGCTACCCTCTTCTGGATCTAATTACAAGTGGGTAAAAGGGTGTGGGGAACCCACAGAACTGACTGCGGGAAGGCAGTGTTTTGCCTGCCTTCTCCATCACTGTTTTATTTCTCAAAAGAATGTTTGAATGTTAGACTTGCTAGGAGCACTAACAGGCTCCTATCAAACATTGACTGTCTCGGGCATAATAAACTGAGACAAGTTAAAAATAACTATTGATTTAATTGCTCTTTTATCCCTCGCTTCCTCTTGGTGTGGGTTTTTTTCCCATTTGTTGACTAACTTTACAATAATCTTGTCTCATTTGTATCCCTGTTTTCATAGTTAAGGTGACTACACTGGTGCAAAGGAAAAGGGGAAGCTTTAAGGAATGGAATGCAGACAGTATATTTGATGTTATGCCCTGGAGGCCTGGGGTGGAGATTGACTTGTCCAGAGAATTTGAAGCTTGTTGGAAATGTAGTTTAAAATCATCCCTTAAGGCCTGCTCTACTTCCAGATTAGAAAATGGAGGATTTTGAAGAATAGCCTTTGAGGTAAAATGTTTAAAAGTACAAACTGAAGATCTCATGCCTCATTAAACCCATCAAACACACTGACAAGAAGTATATAGATCCCGACTCATAGCTGCTATAGCACAACCATCCCAGAGGGTTTCTATGGATGCACATCTTCTAGCAAGCAGGTTGCTTTATCCTTCTCCCACTGGCGAGTTCCAAAGGAGAACTTTTGCTTAGCAGCCAAACACCTTAAAGTGTCAGCAGAGTGCCTTTATGCTCCATTGTTGTTGTTGTGTCGTTGAGCACGATTCATAGAGACCCTATGAACAAAAGGCCTGAAGCCCCTCTATAACTATGGACATTTATCAAAGTTCATAGAGTTTCCAGAGGCATGTTGTTTAGGAAATGGATGCCACACCTGCTTCCTTGGGGATAAATTACTATAGAGTTACCAAGAGCCCCTTCTACAGAAAAACACATAGAATTTCAACTCTGTGAAATAGAACCATACTTTGGGAAGCAGGCCCTTTCTTGGTAGAGTGACAGTAGGGTGTTCTGGATAGCTGTAGTCTGTGATCTTTGTTCTTGTTTCCATTGTTAGAGAACATGAGGTAGAGGTGTACCCAAGCTTAGTCAAACGCTGCCAAGGGGAGACGTTGGCAAAACGGTTTTTCGACACAGGATTAATGGACAATCAAGAGGCTGCAAGAACGTCTACAGGCTGCTTGGGTTAGGCCTGGGCCCCTGAAAGTAAAATGTGGGAGTTGGCTCGGGCTCTGGCAGGGTGCTCTGTACACAAGAGGCTGTCTTCTAGGCAACTCAAGCAGGCTTTGGCGGTCTGGTTGCTATGGTAACGCTCCTGGCTGGGCTCCGCCATTCAGGGAGGAGGTGCGCCTCGTCCAACGTCACCCAGACTGTGTCTGTGGGTGCTTCCCTACCCCAAACTGTCGGCCAGTAGGAACTCATGAGGCAGTTGTTTAGTAAGTAAGGAGTCCAGGGGGCTGAATTGCTACAGAAGGGGTCAAGCATCTTCCTCCCTTGAACCTCCTCTCAGATCCCCCTCTGTTATCAACGACTTAAACGGTCTTTCAGAAAAGGAGAGGCGCTTAATTTGAAGGACTTGGTCAGATGGACTACGCCTTTCCTTCGATCTTTGGTCCCTCTACGCCACATTCACGGGACTAGCTCCAGACCACGCCCCTTCCTTCCCTGGGCGCGCGGAAGGAGCACGAAATGGAAGACTAGGGGTCGTGATTATACTGAACCAGTGCAACTAACACTAGTCGCGCGTAGCCCTAGGGAGGGCCGTCTTCCGCTTGCGTCCTCTGATGCTGCTCCGCCCTCTTTTTCTCGGCGCCCTCTTGAGTTTGCGCCTGCGCGCTGTTCCCGCGCTCCAGGGCTGGGCGAACTCTCACGGACTTGCTGGCGCGCGCAAAGGGGGAGGAGCAGGCATGATCAGGCGCGTTCGCGTCTGGAGTGACGTAAAAGGAGCAGGCGAGTTGGGAGGCTTCAGTGGGTAGAGCGGTACGGCAGTGTTGTTTGGTGGGCGGTGCGTACGGTCGCTCTGGGCACGGGGGTCCCTATCTCATCGACCCACTGTGTTCCAGGAGCAGATCCGGGGCAGAGGGACGGGAGCGCCGGGTCAGGGGCTGCCGCCGCTGCCGCTGCTGGGGAGTCGGCCAGCCAGCTTGCCAGACCGCATTTCGCGGACCCTCAGTTTAGGGTAAGCGGCCCGGTGCTTACTAAAGAGACGAGGGTGAGAAGTTGAGAGTATGGCAGGAAATCGGGGACCTTTGGGAGGAAGAGGGAGGGTGAGTGTGTAAGGGGCCGAGTGTAAAAGGAGAGAAAGAGGCCCACTGAAAATAGTGATGGCAGTAATGACCACCACCACCAGAGTAATAGTCATCTAGTGATACGTGCCAGGTTCTACTAACCACTTTACCCACTTTATTCTTTTTAACCTAATTCTTCTGCGATATTTGCTGTTCTCAAACCCATTTTACAAGATAGGAAAAGTAGAGTACAAGAGAGATTCAGTAGTTGGTGTAGAATCACGCAGGCTCGTAGATAGCCTGCTGTGGATTAGAATTTACGTCTGACCGTAGACTGGTGTTTTTAATGTCTTTTTGCTTCACTCCAAAAGGGGCGAGGGAGGGGAGGCGTGGAGGTGGGAGGGATGTGTGTGGTTTGAAGTGGGAAGAGAATGATGACGGGGGACTGAGGCGGGGAGAGGACTTGAGTTTGGAACCTTGCGGGCCTCCCCCTTCTAACTCGCCTACTCTTCTTAGTTCTTGTGGCCCCACAACCTTTCTTTACTGTTCTGTGGCCTCCTGAACCGGAGCCGTTGCTCTGGAGGATCCAGCTCGCAGGTCTTCGCCGCACGGGTGGTTTCAAGAACTAACTGACTTGTGGTTCCGGTTGAGACAGTGACTCTGGACACCCGGTTCACGAGGTTGAGGGGTTCTGGGTGGCCCTGCGGTCCTGTATAAAATAGGACTCCGTTTTAGCTGCCGCCTCTTCTAATCCACTTACTTCCTTTTCCATTTTATCTACACACGGCAGAGCCTTTGTTCCAGGCCCCTCGAATAGGGAAGTGATGTTTGGAGTTTCCTTGTACCCTTAGGCTTAAAGGGAACAAAACAAGTGAAACCTAACAAATTCAACGTTCTTATCCCCCAAGCAAGGCCTGATATTCTGGATTGCTTGCAGAGAGACCTTGTGGATAGATTTATCATTAGTTCCCAAAACTTTCCTGAGTAATTAAGAAAGAAGCAGTATTTGGGAGAAGTTTAACAATAGGTGGTCGGGGTGATCTGAGTAAATACAAGTGTACAAGGGCGTGGAGCTCCACAGGTAGGGGTTGGGAGTTTGTGTGTGTACAGGCTTAGGGTGTGTATGTATGTACAGCGTTCCCCCCTTGCAAGCCTAGCAGTTTTGGGAAGTAAAAGTTACAAGTCAGTGCTTGTATATTGCTTTCAAATGGATTGGTGGTGTAGCTCATACAGAGACAAGTTTCAGAGTCAAGCTGTCAGGCAACATTGCCTGTGATCACCATGATCCTTAAAAATTAAAGGTGCAGAGTTGAAGATTGCCATCCTTTTTCTTTATGGATCAGCACAATGTTTTCTTTCAGCTCTGAAGCCGGGTTCGGTTGAAACCCAGATAAAAATAGGTTATGCTTAGAAATTGTTATATAAATACATATTTGAGAAGCTATTTTATCTTTTTGTAGCCAACATATCCCATTTCACTCACAGGTTTCTTAGATAAAAGTTTGGTATAAGACATCATTCTGGAAGCCATCAATTCTTCTGTTATTTGTGTACACACACACAGGGAGCTCTGGTGGCCCAGTGGTAAGGAGTTGAGCTGTAAACTCCCAGGCACACAGTTGGAATCCACTGGCTCTTCTATGGGAGAAAGATGAGCCCTCTCCCCTATAGGGTTTATAGCCTTTGAAAACCTGCTGGAGGATCAATTCTAACATGAAGGATGTAACAACAACTGTGTGTATGTGTATAAAACAATGATTAGATTTTCAGAAGCAACTTCTTTTGTAACTGAAAATAGACATTTTAAAAATACTGTCTTCTGAAGATAACACACTGAAAGGTGAGGGTTAACACAGGTGATACTAGATGCTGGTGAGTTGTTGGAAAATGGAGCCAGCTTTAATAGGAACTTTGGGAAGACTTGGACTTTTTAAAATTGTTGATAATTCACTGTGGCCAGTCAATCCTATTTGGCTTCTATTTTGACCTTCAGTTTTTTTTTTTTTTAGAAAAAATTTGATTCTTCTAATTCTTCTAGTTTCAGGATAGTTTCATGTGGTCCATTAGTCTTTTGGGCTAATCACTTTCTTCATTCTTTTGTTTTATTCACTCTCATTTGCTTTGGGCAGGAAGAGACCAATAGTTGTATTTTAGGCACTACTCACCATATTCTCTCTCATTGCTGTTGAGGTGGAACTGACTCATAGCTGACCATCTAGTGAGTTTCTTTCTGAGGCTCAGAAACTAAGGAGCCCTATAGTCCACTTTCTCCCATGAAGCTACTAGTAGATCTATCTATCTGGCATATACAAATAATGTAAGTAAAAAAATCCACCACCTTACCTATATGCATGCAAGTGTAATCCTCTTTGACCTCCCACACTTAATAAGCATAACCTGTAAACTGAGCAAATCATTTGAGAAGCTAGACTATGAAGAAGAATGTGATATTAGGATCTTAGGAAGACTTAACAACTTGCGTTTTGCGGAGAACACAGCCTTGCTTGTTGAAAGTGAGGAGAATTAGAAGCGTAGCTCCAGAAGATCAAAGACTACAACCTTCAATATAGGCTACATCTCAACTTCATGAAGACAAAAATTTTCACTACTGGACTGATAGGCAACATCATGATAGATGGTGAAAGGACTGAAATTATTAACCATTTCATCTTAATTTGGATTCACAGTCATACCTTGGGTACCAGCAGTCAAGAAACCAAAAAGCATGTTGCATTGGGAAAATCAGCTGTCAAGGACCTCACCATAGCAATGGAGAGTAATGTCAGTTTAAACACTAATATGCACCTGATTCAGGCCATGGTATTTTCAGTCACTTGCTAAGCATCTGAGAGCTGGACAGTGAATAAGGATGACAGAAGAGGAATTGATGGCTTTGAGTTGTGTTTCAGAGCAGAATACTGAATATCCCATGGACTGCCAAAAGAACAAACATGTATCTAGAGAAAGTGCGACCAGAGTGGTCCTTAGAGGCAAGGATTGCAAAGCTTTGTCTCACATACTTTGTGCTTGTTGTTGGGAGGGGCTCTTCCTTGGAAAGAGACATCATGTTTGGAAAGTTCGAGGGTCAGTGAAAGAAGACCTCCAATCAGATGGATTGTCATAGTGACTGCAGCAAGGGCTCAGGTATGTTGTAGATGAGGATGACACAAGTTTAGCACAAGGTTTAAATCTGTTCTTAGGGTCACTAAGAGGCATATTCCACTTGTCAGTAAAAAAAAAAAACACCCAACATCTGATTATGTATCTTATTCACAATTATTGTTTGTTACTATTTTTGTTGTAGGCTTGTATGTGCTACATTATTTCCCATAAATGTTCTTTAGTCTTATGTATCTCTATATGTTTGCCTTTGCCTTAATCATGTGGTGCTAACTTGCTAGTTAGTGATCCTCTATCTCCAAGACCCCATCTTTAGTAACCCTCTAAATAATGTGTCTATGTGTAAACTTTATAATGTGTACTGTCCAATTGAAACTTAATTAGAGCTTACCTACCAGTGAGTTTTCAGAGGCAGTAAATTGCATGGGAGGAGATTGTTCGTTCATCCTTCTCCTGTGGAGCATTTGGTGGATTTGGACCATATGCCTTTGGGATTACAGCACAGCTTCTCACCACCAGGCCCCCAGAGCTTTTTTTTTTTTTTAAATTTTCAGAATTGTAATTGTTATTCAGAGCTCCCTTTTATAATAGTAGTCTCTGAATATTTGTTTGATTTACTAGATCCAACATAATGTTTTCCACAGTCATCCATTTTGTGAGGTGTTTCACTAATGTTCTTTATTGTGTGTAGTATCCCATTATATATATGTACTACACTTTGTTAATGCATTCATCTATTGATGGGCACTATTTGCTTTTTTTTTTATAATGCTGCAGCATACATAGGTATGCTGATGTCTATTTGTGTCATAAGTCCTCTTTCTCCAGGAAGGAGAATCCTGGTTCATACAAGTATTTTCTATTTCCAGCATTTTAAGAAAGCACTATATTGTTTTCCGTAATGGTTATACCATTTCACAGGTCCACCAGCTATGTCCATAAGCGTTCCAGTCTCCCTTAAGCCTTGCCAGCATTTTTGTTTTTATTACTGCTCCGTATCTCATTGTAGTTTTGATTTGTAACTCTCCAGTGGTTGGATTCATGTTGTACTCAACTCAGCGGCACTTAACAACAATGGTTGGAGTCAGTAGAAGCCATGGTATGAGTGATACAATTTTTTAATGTCAGATGGATCTTGACTGAAAGCAGAGAAGACTGGAAAGATCTGTACTTAAGTTTAATTGACTATGCAAAGACGTTTGACTGAATGGATCGTAACAAATTATGAGAAGACTAGGAATCCCAGAATACTTAATTGTACTTACATAAAACCTCTACGTAGACCAAGAAGCAGTTGTCCAAACGGAACAAGGAAACACTGTATGGTTTTAAGTCAAGGAAGGTGTGTTGTCAGGGTTGTCTCCTTTTTCCTTACCTGTTCAGTTAGTATGTTGAGCAAATCATTGGATTACATGAAGAAGAATGTGACATCAGGATTGGGCTGATTAACAACTTTTTTAATGCACATGACACAGTTTTGCTTGCAGAAAGTAAAGTGGACTTGAAGCACTTACTGAAGATCAACGAGATGCCAATTTTCAGTATGGATTAAATACCACCCTGAAGAAAACAAAAATTCTCTTCACTGAACCAAAAGACAACATCAAGATAGATGACGAAAAGATTGGAGTTGTTGAAAGTGTCATTTTACTGGGATCCACAATCAATGCCTACAGTTGCCATAGTCAAATAAAAAATGTATTGCATTGGGGGAATCGCTGTCAAGGACCTCTCAGTGCTAAAGAGCAGTGATGTTGGTTTAAACACTAAAGGAGATCTGATCCAAGCTCTGGTATTTTCATTTGCTCCCTATGCATCTGAAAGTTGAGCAGTGAATAGGGATGACGAAAGATGCCTTTGAATTGTGTTAGAGAAACGTACTGAATATCCCATGGACTACCAGAAGAACAGACAAGTCCATCTTGGAGGAAGTGCAGCCAGGATACTTGGAGAGATGGTGAAACTTCATCTCACATACTTTGGACATGTTGTCAGGAGGTGCCAGTCCTTGGAGAAAGATAACATGGTGGGAAAGGTGGAGGATGAGAGAGAGACCCTTGCCAGGATTGATTGCACAGTGACTTTAACAAAGGGCTTGAACTTGTTGGCAATGGTGAAGATGGCACAGGTTAGGTCAGGGTTCAGATCTGTTGTTCATAGGATCATTATGAGTTGTAGTCAAATCACTGGTACATAACAACAATGGTTAATCAAGGAGCTCTGGTGGCATAGTCTGTAGTACGTGGTGCTCTGAACCAAAAGGTCACGTTTCTCTGGCAGTTTAAATCTGTCACCAGCTCCATAGGAGAAGGAAGGGCAGTCTCCTTCCATTCACATTTACATCTTGAAAACCCAGTGGAGATTTGCTTTGGGGTGGAATCAACTCAGTGGCAATGAGTGAATGTTTAATGGGAAGATTGTAGGTGTTTGATGTGTAGGATTGCTGACTGAAAAGCAACTTCCCAGACGCTCGTCAGGAGAAAGATTGGCAGTCTTTTCTCGTGTGATTGATAGCCTCTTAAAACCTCCTGGAGGGTCAGCTAGGAGTCAGTTCTGATGTGGCAACATAGAACAACAGCATTCATGATCTATAAACAACACACATCAGAGCAGCAGTTAAGAAAAAAATGTGTTGCCTTAGGGAAATCTGCTATCAAAGTGCTGAAGAGCAGTGCTGTTGGTTTAAAAAGTAAGGTGCTCCTGGTCTAAGTTGTTTCCTATGCATGTGAAAGTTGGACAGTGAATAAGGATGACATAAGAAGAATTGATGCCGTTGAAATATCATGTTGGCAAAGTATTGAATTTATTATGAACTGCCAAAAGAGCTGTCTTAGAGGAAGTACAACCAGGGTGTTCCTTAGTGCCAAGGATGGTGAAATTTTGTCTCACATACTTTGGGCTTGTTGTCAGGAAGAATATAGCTTGTTTGAAAAAGTAGAGGGCTAGCAAAAGAACAGAAGACCATCAAGGGAATGGATTGACCCACTGACTGCAGTAATAGATGAAGATGGTATAAGACTTGGCAAGATTTTGATCTTTGTTCATAGGGTCACTATGAGTCGAGTTGACTTGAGGACACCTAACTACCACCACCACCACCACAACAGTTTTTATCTAGTTTCTTTTTTCCGTGTGGTTCAGTTATATTTGTTACAGATTTCTTTTTCCTTAGAAAATTAAAGTTAAACAGTGGACCACATTTCTACAGATGTTATTGTCCCTATTCAGCCTGCTTCACTCCTAGTACTTGACCAACCCCTTTATGCATTTGAAATGGAAGTTCTGTTACTGCCTTCTTAAACTCTCAAAAGAATAGGGTACCCTTTTTTTTTTAGAAAAAAACAAAACCCTAATATCTCTAAAATTCTGTTTTTTCTCTTTTTTTTGTTTTCTGGTTTTGTTCTTTAAAGTTCAATTTTTTAATCTGTAAAACAGAACAATGTTGTGAAAATTGTGGTAAACTGCCTCTGAAAATCCACTGGAGGGTCAGCTTTGGTTTAAGGTTCTGACTATGGTACACAACTACAAGTCTTATTTTGAGGGTCCTCTGGTGACTTAGTGGTAAGGAGTTGTGCTGCCAACCCAGAGGTACATGGTTTGAATCCACCAGCCTTCACAGGAGAAAGATGGGCAGTCTCTTCTGGTGTGATTTACTGCCTCTGAAAACCAGGTTCAGCTGTGAGTTGGTTCCAGTTCATTGGCATATAACATCAAAAGTATTATTTTGAAGTAAACCTGTTTCCCTTTATATTTATATTGTCTATTTCAGCATTATCACCAAAAGATAATACTCTTTTGAAAACAACACTATAACAAAAAAAGAAGCAAAGAAACAAAATAGCCCTCTACTCCAAATAGTAGCCCATCATTTAAATTTTTAATTGTCTCTAAATTTTTCGTGTGAAATGAGATAAGTTTGTTTAAAATAAGATCCAGATAAAGCCCATAGGATTTGAATGATTGTTAGGACACCTAAGAATCTTCTAGTTTTTGTAGTTTTATTTGTTGAAGAAACCAGTTGCTCCTGTAGTCTGGTGTCATTTAATAGCTTTCTCTTCCTTCTTTTTAAAAAAAGTTTCCTGTAAATTTACAGTTAGGCTTGGTCAGACTTAAGGCAGTTTTGTTTTGATTTAAGGTTGGTATGTTGTTTTTTTAAGACACTTTCCCAGTTAGTGGCATGCTAGATGAGAAGGCACTGTCTGTTTTTCTTTTTTTGTGATGATTGTAGCCATTACTTCATTATTTAAAAAATTTTGTTGAAGCATAATTATGTCTTGTACAATTGACCCATTTTAATATGCAGTTCAATGATTTGTAGTACATTTTCTGAGTTGTGCAGCCATCCCTCTACTTCTTTTAGGAACATTAGCTTGGTGTATAGGAAGTTACCCAACTCCCAAAGGTGGTACCTCTTTGTAGTTTGAATCCACCAGCTACTGTCAGAGAGAAAGATGGGCACTCTCCTTTCATGAAAGTTATAGTTCTTAAAAACTGCTAGAAGGTAAGCTATGAGTCAGTGGCAACCTGATGCCAATTAGTTGAATTTTTGAGTAAAATATGATAGTTTATGTTAATTTACAGTTAAGTCCCTTCTTACCCCTGGAGTGTCAATGAGTAAATTTACTTTTCTGGATATTTCATATAAATGCCACTCTGCTTAATAGCCAAATCTAGACACCAAGTAGAGGTTCCGTTTTAGAAAGGCGACCCAACCGAATGTGGAAACTACAGAACAATTGCACTGATTTCACATGCAAGCAAGATTTTACTGAAGATTATCCAAAAACGACTGGAACAGCACATCAACAGAGAACTACCAGAAATCCAGGCTGGTTTCAGAAGGGGTTGTGTTGTAGCTGATGTTAGATGGATCTTGGCTGAAAGCAGGGAATACCAGAGGAATGTCTATCTGTGTTTCAT